ACTAAGTTTATTGAATTTATTGAGATTTGTTAGCTGAGGGTGATAAGCCCCACCTGGCTAGCCTGGCTCAGCTAACAGGCCTGCACTGGCTATAGCCACGGTTTACTTAGTAAATTGACAACCATGGCCCCTTGCGAGGCTTCGGCGCATCGCGGGCGACGCCCGCGGGCTGGCACGCATCCTCGCCAATGAGCTCGCGCTCGACGTCGCCAGTGTCGTGCGCGTCTTCATCATGTTCGTCAACAGCCACAGCGAGTATGGGTCTGGTGTCAGGTCTGACGGCGACGGGCTTGTCCGCGGGAGCACCGGGCGTCGAAAGAGCGGAGCCCGGTGAGAAAGCGCGAGGTGTGCCCTGAGCGGGCAGAGCGGGAAAGGCAGGCAACGACGGAGACAGACAAGCGGGTGCTGGAGGTGAGAGGTCGAATGACGCATCGGGAGTCGATGCCATTTCAGAAGTAGATGAGGGTACAGGCCTAGTCATGAGATCGTTTGAACCAGTAGACGCCATAGTAGACCCCGGCGGGAATGTGAAAGGAGTGGGTCGCTGAACATGTTTCTTGTGTTGCGAGAGAAGCAACGCCGCGCGCTTCAGTTCCAGATCAGCAAGACGCCTCTGCGCCTCGTTAGCGCCGTTGATAACCGAGGTGGCGCAATCAATTCGCCGTTCGAGTAATGCGAGTTCGAGCTCTTGGAGTACGAGATCGCTCTGTCAATTACAACAGTCAGATAGACGAAAGATGACAATCTAATGGTGCATACCTGTTGTACCTGCTGAGACGCGCGTACCGTCTCCTGTTTTACTTGCAACTCGACGCGTTCGACTTGTAGAGTCGCAAGCTCTTGCACAGCGAGCGGTTCGTTATTCGCGACGGCGTATTCCACCGCGATCCGAGCGTCACAGAGCTGAAGTTCGAGCTCTTCGAGCCGATCCTGGATGGTGTGAAACTGTGTTCACAGTTGGTGTATTGTGCCACATGGAGAATGGGGCGCATACCTCCAACATGGCAAGACCGAAGCCGGGGTAGAAGTCGCGGATGGAGGTAAGCGAAGACTTGAAAAGACTAGTGCTGTGCTTTTATGTGTTTAACTTGACCGCGACGTGCGAGCGATAAGACCTGGCCGCCAACAATTAGGCTAGAACGCCATGACTGAACAGGTGCAACGCAACATGCCTAATACAGTTCGCAGATCATCCTCACTGCTTTGATGAAGCTTGAAGAATATGCGAATGGCTACACCCGGCATGCAGTCACTAAAATCTCAGCCGTCATTGCAGACATAAGGAGGATGATGAGACTAGTCGGGACGGGGGGAGTGGACGGATGGACGTTATTCGCAAGATGGGCGGGTTCAGTTTGGCTAGTTTGGCTAGGTTTCCCACTAAAAGCCGGCGTAGGAACCCACCAACCGGTGATTGCCGGCGGGGCTCTGACGCCATCAGTTGCGTTCCTTTGAGCCCGCTTGTTCAACCTTATCCAACTCAAGCCTCGCAGTCCTGCACGGCCTTACTCCAGCGAGCAGGAATTGGATTGCCATATGAGACCCAGCTAGGGGCGACGGCAGGCTGGCGCGACAATGTCGCTGGGCCTACATTGAGAGCGTGCGTTGAGACCGAGAGCGTATGACACGTCTTCACACAAGGAGTCTGAGACCAGCAGAACAACATGTTGCCCTCAGCACGTCGGCTCGAGTTTGTCGGCGGAAACTGTCAGATGCCTTCGCTCGGTTATAGTTCATTGATTCGGCCTCTCAAGCTTCCTTAACCGACAGCGGGCCCGTTTCGGTGGCCGGGCTGGAGGCATCCGGAAGCCTGAGAACCCCGGCTTCGAAACTCTCCTAATCCCGACTCCAGATTGCTCTCAGATATGACACCTATTCTAGGACTTACAGGTATTCTGCTGTCTCAAAAGTAGTTCAGTGTGAACGGTCGCGCTTTCCGTGGGTACAGTGACCTTCGTAAGCAACTTGGCATCCGATCCACATGATATTTATCAAGCAGCAGTTCATACTCTACAGGGCAGCACGCATGAGTACTCAAGAGAACGCGCGACTCCGCGCGCGCAACATACGACGGATACACGTAATCAGGTGGCATCATCCCCGCCTACGTCGAGAGCAGACTCGCCACCAACCCCGACATCGATCTTAACCGTACCATCGACTAGTTGAATAGCGTCCTCGACGATATACTTACCCTTACCACCGACCATATGGATCGAACCCCTCATCGGTTTTCCTGCGTGCTGCATCTTATCCCATGAGATACGCCTGCCAGTAAGGTGGTTGTAATGCGCCACCGCGCGCTCTCCGGTAGGGAACATGGCGAACTCTGCAGCGTCGTGTCCCTCGACGAGAGCCATTGCGAAGGAGCTGCAACATCATCAGTAGCAATCATAGCGTTTCAAAGAGAACGTACATATTGGTATAGAAGATCCCGCTGCGAGCACCGTGAAGAATGACGAAGTAGCGTAACGGATGCTCGAAGTTGCCCGCGACGGGAGACGCGGCAAACACCAGCTCGGGTTCGCCCTGGGGTCCATCAAATGATGCGATAGAGAGTGGGCTCGGCCGATCTCGAACAGTTACGTTCGTGTCCTCCGAGTTGCCGGTCTCGCTGTCTTCATCCAAGTCAGCCTCAGAGGGAGCAGGTGTCGGACCCGCGGAGTTACTGGCATCGCTCCTTTCGATGTCGCTGGCCGTGAAAGCACTGAAGATCGTCGAGTCAGTCGCCGGCATGTCCTGACTCTCGTCGCCGTCCATAGATGGGCTAAGGTTCCAGTCGCGCTCGAGCGATTTGCTGACAGATTCGACGTGTGTAGCGTGACCACGTTCAGATGCGGGCACAGGGACGTTGTAATCAAAAGCAGCTCTTATGGCTTCGGCGCAACTAGACTCGCGTTCAGCTTGCTCGAGGAGCACGTTGATGCGACGGAAAACGAGGTCGGCCATCTCGTTGGAGCGAATAGCAAGTGTCAATGACGCGTCGCGCTGACCGCGGTTGAAGTCTACGTGATGGCCAAGTACCGCGGACCTGTCGTGAGATTCAGCGTCTTTGCGCGCTCGTCGACCATCACGCCGCAGCACTTCGTAGCGCGCGTGCAGGCTATAGACCTCGGTGCGAATGACAGCAGCGAGTGAGTCGTGGAGCTTGCTATCAGCGCGCTCAAACGCACACACGGGGAGTGTTTCAAGGTTTCGATGGACGATAGAGGGAATGTGAGACGACGAGCGTTGGTGGACTTCGTTGCTACTTGTAATCTTGTCGAGTAGGTTGAAGTGCTCGGCCATCGTTGCCTGCGAACGGCCGTGAGTCGGAGATCCCGCACGACCCGTTGATGATCCTACAGCAGCAGCGGCTAGCGCGGCTTCAAAATCAGTTTGAAGGATACTGGCGGGGGCGGCGGACGCGGACGAGTGTTGAGTAGCAGGCGCAGGAGCGGCGGGCAAGCCTGGAGCATGAACTGGCGCAGGAGCAGGTAGATGCACCGGCTCAGGTTCGGGTATCTGGATGTATATAGGTCCCGGATTAATGGGCGCAGGGATCGGCGGTAGGTTGCTGTTCATGCGGTGCATATGAAAGGCCGCAATAGCTGCTGCGCGACTCCCATATTTTTGCATTGAGCCTCCAGAGAACTTGGACGTCTGGGCATGGGCCGTCCCACTATATATTGATTAGCGATGTCGAGAGGCCATGTGAAATGCTGAGAGATACACGAACCTGTGACTGAACACACCGATGATGCGTCCGCTGTGGACAGCGTAGTGAGGCGCCTCGGGGTCGCCGATGTGAGGGTTATCGAAAAGCGTGACATCAGCATTGCCAGGAGCAATATGAGCAAGCGTCGGGGGCTGGACGTTGTCGGCTTCGTTGACGGCGGCTGCGGCAACCGTGTCGACAGGCGCGCCATCGTCTGGCGTAGGTAGAACAACCGGCGCAGCGGCCACCGGAAACGGCGGAGCAGAGCCTGGGTTATCGACCGCATTTTCTGCTAGGCCATCAATACCACAGAATATCATAGAGCAGATGAACCGGACCTAAAGACGAAGACATAGCGCGACGTGAGAGTGACGAAAGGTACGAGACTGCTAGGTGATCACCGCAGTACCGCAATTATTGCGGCTCTTATAACTATCTGCAAGCGCGCCTATGCATATAAGATTCCCATAGGCTGTGCACGACCAAAATCATCGTCCCAATGCAGTCAGGAACACGGGGTGCACGCGATACACAGACGGTTAGTATGTTTTGGTCATATTGGTCGGGCTTTGTGCACACATCTGGACAAAGGCTATGAGCGAGGCGTCAAGTCGTCGAGGGACGTCAAACCTTATATCAATTTGCAATGGAGAGGAATTAGACGGAACCGTGTCTGAAACAGGAATTCTCTTCGACCCGTATGGCGGTCAGAACGTTCGAAAATTCGACCATTTGTATCACCCTTCTCTGCGTTTTCCTACAACATTCGCGCGACTTAATTACCAAGTTTCCGCCGCCCTCTCGTCCCTTTGGCCCTCCCGTCTGCACGTATGCGTACTCGCTGAGCAGATTTATCCAACGGTACCCGATTTGTGGCAGACCGAGCGAGGACGAGGGAGGGTCGGAGGAAGCGAAAGCGCGGTGACGCGGCGGCCTGAGCCGCGTGTTTGATTGACGCGCGTACACGTGTGTTGCCGCGTGTGTCGCTACTCGCGTCGCCGCCTCCCTCGTCCTCCTCNACGTGTGTTGCCGCGTGTGTCGCTACTCGCGTCGCCGCCTCCCTCGTCCTCCTCGTACAGCCTCGTAAGCTAGCGGCGAGTCCGCCCGATCCCTGACGTACGTGACGGTTTACGGGTGAATACGGAATACGATTGACTGGTAAATTCACGAAAAAGCGGTGAAAACGGGGTCTAGTGGCATTACTGGTACACATGTATGAACGGCAGACGAGACAATCGCAGAGTATTGACCGTGAATTTGGCCTGCCAATTACTGCAGAGGGTCGCGGTGGCAAACGATGAGCTTCTATCTTCCCGCTTCTGTAAAATACTCCACATCGACATGCTCTTCGACGCCCGTGTTTGCCGCAGTAACCTCGACTTAAACATCCTGGCCGAACATGAGCATGAGTGCCTTATTGTAGTAGATGAGCAAGGACGTACATCGAGCTCGAATGCAGGCAGGGAGGACTCGATGCCCGAGATGTTGTCGCGAAGCGTGGCCCTGGCGAGCTAGGCAATGTCAGACATGGAGAGACTTGTTCGATGGCATCTAGACTGCTTGGCGTCAGTAGTACGCCAGCGTTGATATGAGCAATCGTACTTACCGGCGGACACGCCCAGGTTTGTTGGTCAACCTGTTGCGGACCGTGCGAGCCGGGTTGGCCTCTCGAAACGGCGCCTCCATCTCGACATGATGAGTGATAAACTGTGTTGTCTTTCTATCCGCGGACACGAAGGTAGCGAGGCCTTTGGGATAGAACAAAGTCGTAGCCATGTATTTTCAGGCTTCTCAAGCGCTCCAGGCGCAAGGTCAATACCACCACCGCTCGTGAAACCGCCTCCGGCGGCGCTATGGGGATCAAAAACACCGCGTCCGACGCTAACATTGCTGACATTGCCCTGGACTTTCTCATGTGGGACAGTCTTGCTGATGTCGTACTCGCTCGCGAGCCCTGCGCAGGAACGGAGTGTTGTGCGAGCAACAGGGCCAGGAGGGCCAGTGACGTATAACCCGCGATGCTTGCAAAAGTGGCCGCGTTTGTCGCGACCCGCACGGCATACTGAGCGTGTTCCTCGCTGACTGCGAGCTTCTCGATGCCGATAACGGCGTATGTCGATGTTGGAGAGCTCGCCGCAGAAACCTGTCGTGACACTGTTACGATGAGATGAAGACTTGAGCCCACGATGGTCTTGACAGGGCCGGAACAGCCCCAGTGTCCACAACGAAGTGATAGTTGCGCCTTCGGGGGATGAGGGAGTCAACATAAATATGTTTGCAAGGAAACCTGGTTGTGAACGGGACTTACGAGAGGAACACTGGGACAAGGTGTCTGTCAGAGAGGCACGAGTCGCCTCAGGCTGTCGATGCGAACCTTGTACACATTTACCCATAAGGGATGGTCCAGGTTCGTCACTTGTCGAGTCGAGAAAGCCAAGTGAAGACGAGAATAAAGCCAAGATACGCCAACGAGTGTCTCTCGACAAGCCCGTACATCTGCGTATTCGCGCGACGCGCGTAGGCGATTCGACCGCACGGAAACGGCCAAACTGGCGAATGGACTGTAGTCACAGTGGTACACCCCTCCGGAGGCGCTGATCCTGCAGAGTGTGTGTTATCTTCGAGACCTCTGATAGCTCGTAACATCAATGTCGGGCCGCCGCGCACCTGAAGGTATGCAAATTCGTTGAAGGTTAGCGGTGACAGGTATATGGTGATCACTAGCATGTTTCTGTTACTCTCCGAGCATTCGACGCCCGCCGCTCGCTCCGCTTGCCTCGCGGGCGACTCATGCCCGTCGTGTAAGATTCGGGAAACGGGCCACGGGCAGTGATGAAAGTGTGTACGAGATCGTATCGAGTATTGCAGTGATTCTCCGTCGAGCGCAGATCGAGCATGATTGTGGCCATTGCAAGAAACTCCGGGCCAGGACTACATTGCTATGGCCTACAGGTGATAATAGCCACGGGTTTTTGCTCTGAGTTTCTAGGTACGAGCGCTTGAACCCTCCGTGAGGTAAGCTCGCACAATAGTTCAGCCATGCGTGCGGACAATCGACCTGGCAGGTGAATTGATGAGGCGTGGAAAGCGAACGTTCGGAAAGTCGACGTACTATGAGTACCATTCACCGGATCGCTCCCCTACCGCCTCTTGTAAGAGCCCATGTGCCCCACCACAAGCACCCTTGCAGATCTGAGAGCTAATAGTTATCACTCATAGTGGAACCTTGGGCTCGAAAGGTAGACAGTAGAGAATGGCGTAGACAAGAGCAGAACGTGAGGAGATGCCTGGAGACGCCCACGCGATTCGTGAGAAACCGGCGTGGGAACGACAGCGAGGCTTCCCCCCGACTCTCTGTCCCTGACTAACTCACTTATGTTCGTTGATACGTCAGGGAATGCTATCTTCCGCTATCGTAGCCCATATACCTACTGCTTCTATACTGATGTAGAGGCCAGCATCTCGCCTTGTCTTGTAGTAGAAAAGAAATTTAATGACATTGTGCCCTTCGGGTTTGGAAGAAATGATTGTTCACTTGACAAAATGTGCTCTGGTGCACGCATGAGACTATGAGTGATGTCAGGCTAGAGCGTATGAGGAGGACGAGGGAGGCGGCGACGCGAGTAGCGACACACGCGGCAACACACGTGTACGCGCGTCAATCAAACACGCGGCTCGGGCCGCCGCGTCACCGCGCTTTCGCTTCCTCCGACCCTCCCTCGTCCTCGCTCGGTCTGCCACAAATCGGGTACCGTTGGATAAATCTGCTCAGCGAGTACGCATACGTGCAGACGGGAGGGCCAAAGGGACGAGAGGGCGGCGGAAACTTGGTAATTAAGTCGCGCGAATGTTGTAGGAAAATGCAGAGAAGCTGTACACCAATGGAGTTGCGTCCAGATCCAGATATATATATATATATATATATCCAGCAACTGCGCACCGCTGGCTAGCTTTGTCTGCAGTACCGCAGGGCGCAGCGCCGTCAAACGGGGATTCAATTACACCACTTTTCACATTCCCGCTTATATACAAATAAACATAAACAAAGCCCTTATGAATCGTAGATTGAAAGATTTATGACAGTGCTGCCCAACCATCGCAAGTGACCCTCCTGGGCTCGGGCGCGACAATCGACTTGATAGACAACTTGCGCTTCGCAGGGTCCTTCGCACCACCGTTTCAATATTTCGGACCGCCCTTCTTCAACCCCTGTGGCGGTTTATAGCCATCTGGAACCCATGTCCATGTGCCAAACCATCCAAGTCGCAGCCGCAATAGCGTTGCACATCGACACATCGACGAGCGCGCTCAACAACTGATGACTGATGCACGTGAGACCGTCCTCGCCGCCTCCAATCAACACGTGAATGTCTTCGCTGGCTTCAGCGACTGCATCGGCGGTGTGATGAGCCACTCGGAGTGACGCACATGAGCCCGAATTGCCCACGCATCTTGGGCCAATGTACGCCTCTTACTCCTCGAGAATGTCGTTTGCAGACAACGCGCTCATGTCGGCGTCGTCGGCATTGTTGCCCAGTCCTCCGGTTCCAGTGGAATAGCGAATGATGAGCGGCGACATGGCGGCCGACAAGCGCGCTTCCTGAAGACGCAAACGAGGTGATCTAGGCGCTCGTCTTCAATGTCTGCCGTTAGGCCGAGTTCGGCGAAGCCGCGGCGGACGTGGGAGAGACCGTAGATGGGAAGCGTGTCCATCCGCTGAGACGGGCCTTCGGGACCAGCCCCATAGCCGAGCAGTCAGCCGAGAGTCCATTTCACGTATCGTCTTCCGACCGCGCCGAACAAACAAGCGTGGAATGAGCGAGCGATGTTACCCCGTCTGCTGGAGAGCAATGAAATGGTCCAAGGGACCCAAAGCGGGATGCTGGTACCATTGCTAGGCCGCGTAGCATTCTGAGGAACATCTGGGTCCAACCCGAACGTTTGAACGAACGATTGGGCGCAACGCGGCTCGAATGAACGCATCGAAGAGGGGGGACGTCGAGGGGATAAGCACGAGCTCCGTGAGCCGTGCGCGGCAGGCTGTCATGCACCTGGTTCGAGCGCTTGATATCACTGACCACTATCTCCTCTACCTGCTGCAGCGCACGTTCAAACGCGTCTCCAGAGGTATGGGAGAAACAGGTGGTAAAGTTTTCTTCTGCCATGCGGCGGCTGAGTACTTTGCGGAGCCAGCTCGACGCGCGCGAATGCTTCGTCAGACCACGAAGCCGCTAGCGAAGCGTAGTGTAAGATTCGAGCTTGGGAATACGCCATACGCCAATGGTACGGAGTCAAGCAACGCCTCTGGGTACGGGTAGTCGGCGAATCGCCTGACCCGTCTCCTTGCATGTGGA